ATATATATATATATATATAATAGCCATTATTTAACAATAACATTGCTTAGACATCTATAATAATATGTTCCACACAATATATTTAAGAAAAACATTGATTTAATATAAATTAAAATTAATTAATCTTAATTAACATGTAGTATAAATCCAGTTAGTATAAAAAAATTTATTGATGAATAACATTTTTTATCATAAAGGAAAGTCGTTGCATGTCTAAAAAAGACAATGATTATAGACATCGTAATTAATATTAAGTGACAAGAAAATAAAATAAGAATATTATATTATAAATATTTACCCTCGCATTTTATATATTTTCCATATGTTAATTAATTTGTTTTTTATTATAAATTTTCCATAACTCTTTAATTAGAAATTAATATGTTTCATGTAAAATTCCCTATTGTTATTAGAAATTAACATTTTTTTTACATGTGATGATACAAGTCATTTTTTTTTCTGTGCCATATGTATAGGAATTAACATTGTTAGTCTCAATTGGATGGAAAAGACCACATTTCATCATTTTTTTAAATTAAAGGGTGAAATTGAACATTTTAATAATAAAATAAGCAAATTGAAGCAATTAAAAAGAAAGAGGAAACGAAAAGAGTATTATTATTATTATTGAAACAATAACAAATACATGTGTATGTGTGTATATATAAAATACACTTGCATAATATAACAGCAAAATGAGTTTTTGCTTTGTTATCAATAAATAGAATAAATAATAACATAGTATACTAAGGTGATATTTTTTTTAAGAAGCACAGGGTAGCAAAAAAATGGATTTAAAAATAGAGGAAACTCACATTCCTCAGCACTTATTATATTATATAAAGGAGTTTAAGCTTTAAGCAAAGATTTTGACCTTGTTCCTTAATGCGAGTTTTGGGAGTACAATGTGTTATATATAAGTGGATCAAGATAAAATAGGGTATTGAATGAAAAGTAATTAAAATTATGCATATTAAATATTCATGTCACAAAGACTGATAAAAAATATTTTTGTCAAATAATATTTTTTTGGGTCATGCAATGAAGTTGCTGAGGACTATATTTCTTGAAAGGTCTTTTCTAGCATAGAAGTTCTTAAACCATTTATTTAAGACTTTCATTTCATTGGTGAATTGAGACGAACGAGTATTTTAAAGGTCTTAAGAGTATTTATGTCTTTGTCCTACTTCTCTTTTAAGATGCAAAAGTTATATATATATAGAGAGAAACATTAAAAGTAATATGCTGGAGCGGAAATGCGATGCATACCTCCAATGACGAAAGGAGCTTGAGGACATCCTCGATAATCAGAACAATGGCCACAGTTATAACATGTGACAATGTAGGACGGCACTGAAAGGTTTAATAGAAATTAGGCAGCATTCAAAAATAATAACAGTATTGCTTGCATTGAACTGGCTGAGCAATATATAATATTTTTTATAATGTGTTACATGATTCAGAACTCTTTTTCTCCCCCTTTATTAGGTAAACAAAGGGCAGAAAGAAAGAATAGTACCAGATGTTTGAACTGTGGCCTAAGATCATGCTGCTAACATTCAAGCAACTAAACAAAGGAAATTGCAAATTATTTATTATAACTTTTATTGGAAATGAACCACTCATTTGTCACTAGATACTAGATAGCCATCAAATAAACATTTCATGTTGGATTACAGAAAAATATAGCACTGATATATTGCCACAGGGATGACAAGGATAACAAATGTGATTGACTTTTCATCAAAAGAAAAATGTTATTGGCTAAATTGATAAGAAGTAAATGGAAACTCACTATCTGGAGATGACGTTTGTTTGGAAGCACGACGCCAAGGATCCTGGGAGCCGTTTGTAAATATTATTTTTGAACCTGTCCATGTACACCAGAATAGGATACATGAAATCAGGTTATATTTAGTATATACAGAGTAAAACGATAGGATGCCATAAAATTTATGCGCTGAACAATTTGTTTTATATACTAACTTATACGGGTAAGCACATAATTCAGATTGAAATATGTAACTTAAAAGAAATTCATTTTCAAAATGACTTTAAAGTTCATGTTCAGGACGACAATCATCATGGCCTGGACATATATGAAAAAAAAATTATAATGAAAGAGTAAATGAGTCATACAAGCATATTTAATGAGATTATCTACCATATCATGTATATTACTTGTAATTTTATTTATTTTTGCATATATTTTTAAAATGAGGAGAGGGGAGGGAGGCGAATAACATAAAAATTCAGGCATAGGCAAGTTTATAGACCAGCAATTTGTGTGCCTCCGTAGTATAAATTAGTTCCATCGACATCAGGAAAGATGCCCTCTCCAAAGACATTTTTGCAAAGGTCCAAATGGTATCTGCAACGTATGAGAAACTACTTAGTACAAATATGATAGGCGTAGTGTGATAGTGATAGAATCCCGTCAATTGAGTATATAAAGTGAACCGTGAGGTAAGGAACTTGCTTTGTGTCAACTTTTGAGGAGCGAATACTATCATTTGAGGGAGCCACCTGAAAGTATGCAACTTCAGTGCAAACTTGAAACCACCATAATCGAGCAGAACTGTCTTCATTAATAGCAGTTTTTTTCAAGTACTTCTGATCATAAGTCTGTACATTAACACCAAAAGTTCCAGTATAGTACTCTTTGACATATTTGGCATAAGCATCCTGCATGTTGAATTATATAGTTTCCATCAGATGTAAACCACAAAGACACAAGTAACAAAAGAAGAAAGTAGAGACAATTATTTCAATATTTGCAAAGAGGAAGATGGAGCTAATGACCATATCAAGAAACTCATAATCTAGAGTATCCAAATATGACAATACCAAATTTCATGTTATGTTATGGAGATCATGGTTAACGGGGTGAGTACATGAGCTAGCAAGGCCATTAGCCCATTTCAAAGTAGTTCAAGTTGGGAGAAAACTATTACAGTAGATATGTTGTTTGTATATATTTCAGATGAAAGGGGCAAACATTGGCATAAACCAAGAACCACACATTATCATAGTGTAATAATCTACAATCTTCAAAATGAAGTCAAATACAGTGTATTAATCTCACTATAGGATGAAAATGAGATACCCAAATATAAAAAACATTAAAGGAATTAATAGGAACCTCCAAGGAACCCACTGTTCCTTACCCGAGCCTACAGCTGAATTCTCCATGACTAATAACAGAAACCTCTCTCTCCCAACCACATCTAGCCCACTCATCATATTTAACTATCCCTTGTATCCTTAGCCAGATGTCCCACCTTTTCCCCTCCTAGAATATAATTCTAATCCTTAGTTTCATGGTTCACCTGCTGAAG